CAATTATTCAAGTTATTTGCTGTATACTTTTCCCTGTTTTTGTCTCCTGTCTAGACTGAGCCTTCATAATTACCCTTTGTAAATGATTCTCTCATTATCTGATTGTGCTTGTGGGTTTGGCTTCTTATTTGTTACAGTCTATACAAATATTTGGTCTGGGTTCAGTGGCTAAGATGTTGAGCTTGTCGATTGAAAGGTTGGCAATTCAGTAGTTGGAATCCCTAGTGCTGTGTAACGGGGTGAGCTCCTGTTACTTGTCCCAGCTTCTGCCAACCTAGCAGTTTGAAAGCACGTAAAAAATGCAAGTAGAAAAATAGGGACCACCTTTGGTGGGAAGGTAACAGCGTTCCATGTGCCTTTGGCGTTTAGTCATGCCGGCCACATGACCACGGAGATGTCTTTGGACAGTGCTGGCTCTTTGGGTTTGAAACAGAGATGAGCACCACCCCCTAGAGTCGGGAACGACTAGCACATATGTGCGAGGGGAACCTTTACGTTTTATACAAATATTTTAAGGAAATAACAGTATAATGTGGTTTGCTAGCTTTTGCATCAGGGTTGTGTTTGACCTCAGGGGACCAAGTGGACGTGGCTGGGGTGGGTGTGGCCTGCTCGATATCCTGCAGCCCTCCGCCAGTGAAAACGGAACCCCGGGAGTGCTGTGTGAGGTCCTCCCGGGCCCCATTTTCAGCTGCGATGGCTTCCTGCAGCCCTCTGCCAGAGCAGCCCTCCCAGGCTCTGTTTTCGTTGGCAGAACACCGTAGGCCAGTTCTTCCAGGACTGTTTCCAGGGCAGCCTCGCAGGCCAGATTTAAGCACCCCACAGGCCAGATCCGGCCTGTGGGCCTTGAGTTTGACACCTCTGTCCTAGAGCTCAGCAAATTTTTTCCATTAAAAATTTCAGAACCATTTGCAATAAATGGATCTTTTTGAATGCTAACTTGCTGTTTTTAGCCCCAAAGTTACAACGACTGTATATTGTAACTCAGTGGTGGGATTCAATTTTTTTTACTACCGGTTCTGTGGGCGTGGCTTGGTGGGCATGACGTGGCTTGGTGGGCATGGCTTGGTGGGCATGGCAGGGGAAAGATACTGTAAAATGTCCATTCCCTCCCCACTCCAGGGGAAGGTTACTGCAAAATCCCCATTTCTTCCCAATCAGCTGGGACTCAGGAGGCAGAGAATAGATGGGGGCGGGGCCAGTCAGAGGTGGTTTTTACCGGTTCTCTGAACTACTCAAAATTTCCGCTACCGGTTCTCTAGAACTGGTCAGAACCTGCTGAAACCCACCTCTGTTGTAACTTCATATAGTTGTCTTATAGGCAAGAGCGGCAACATAAAATTTTCTTAAATAAATACTCTATTCAATTAGCACATTTCCCCTCCTTTACTATGAATATGTTTCTTTTTACTCTCTCTTTCCAGTCCAATTTCTCAGTCTTGTTCGGGTTGCCTAATTTATTCTCAAGTAGACCCAAATGTCCAAAATGAGAAGGGCTATTCCATGTTCCTCTGCATGCATGTATGTCAAATTCTTTGTTTCATTCAATTCTTTATGCTTAGGTTAACCTCAATGCACTGTCATCAGATGAGTGCTAAAAATACCTGCAGTTAAATTGAATTCATACAATTTTTAGTACAGCATGTAGTATGACCACAGCTCATATTTTTTAAGTCCTCACTAACTCCCCAATTCTGCCATCTGTGAAAAAAAAATGATGAAAATGACCTGGCTAGCCCCAAAGGATTAATGAATATAATTCAACAATTTTTCAAAGCAAAATAAATATTCAATTTCCCCCCTATTTTAAATACAAAAGGAATAATATTCTAGTACAGTAATTGCATATTATTTGCAATAGTGCAGGGAATTTCTACTAGCAAAGAGAAGATTTATGCATACTGTTTTTAAACTATCTATGCAATTATCAGATAGCATTTTAAAGAAATGAAACTAGAACTGAAATGAATGAACATCTTTTTAAGACTCTTCAAAATTCACTTAATAAGACTTGGGAATTATGGCATTAATTTCCTTTCATCTTCTCCGTGTCCCATACCCATATCTAAAAGTAAGTTATGTTTATCTGTTATCATTGAACACATATTACAAATACTTTTACTTACTATGTTTATAAATAGCTTTATGCTAATGTATTTTAAATGGTTTACAATTTACAACGATGGTATCATTATTTTTTTCATAATTTAATAATACCAAAAGCACAATTGGCAGAAAGAAGAGGAGCAGGTGAGGAACTGTGACCATTACACAAGCCTCCTGAGATTAAAAGAGACAAAAGAATTAATTCTTACTAATACACCTTTCTCTCATTAGCTAGTTTACACATCTTGCTAAGCCTTATGAAAAGTTATATTTAGTTTAGTTTACTGTGTGATTCCAGCCATTGCTGCTTGCAAATAAATAGTTTAGCGTGTTGTATGAATTCAGTCATAATCTTACAACCAAAGCATTTATTCATGCTCAAACTTTGCAGTATTCTTGAAGCACTATATTTGCAGGAGCAATTATTGAGGAGAACTGTAAGAAAGAAAAGAAATTTGGTCCAACCTTTGTACAATTATGAAGTTCATTTATAAGAGTATTGAAGCTGTTTCTGAACGTCAATGAGACTGACAGTGGAGAAGGCAAATAGGTCCTTCACATTGGCCTCATCTAAAAGCTTGCATTGGATGTCATAATGCAATTCTATATTGACCTCATTTGCACAATAATATAATGATTTGTGTGTTGCCATTTCAATATCATACTAGCACTTACATCCTTTCTCTTTCATTGTACAGCCTTCCACAGGAAAATAATAAGTACTAATGTTTGTGTATGTATTGTGGATTATTTATAGCAAGTATGCGAGATGTAAAATAAAGGGAATGCCTGCTGAAGAATTTGTGACTCTCCAGTTAATCCTGAACTTCCAATAGTTTGTTTAGTGACTATTTAAAGTTACAACGGCACTGAAAAAAGTGACTTATGGCCATTTTTCACACTTACAACTGTTGCCACACCCCATGATCACCTGATCAAACCTCAAATGCTTGTCAACTGACTCATATTTACGATGGTTGCAGTGTCCTGAGTCATCTGATCACCTTTTGTGGCCTGCTCACAAGTAAAGGCAATGGGGAAGCCACACTCACTTAGCAACAGAGGTACTATTGAGCAGATTCTGACCAATTCTGGAGAACCGGTAGCGGAAATTTTGAGTAGTTTGGAGAACCGGCAAATACCACTTCTGGCTGGCCCCAGAGTAGGGAGGGAATGCAGATTTTGCAGTAACCTTCCCCTGGAGTGGAGTGGGAATGGAGATTTTGCAGTATCTTTCCCCTGCCATGCCCACCAAGCCACACCCACCAAGCCACACCATGCCCACCAAGCCACACCCACAGAACTGGTAGTAAAAAAATTTGAATTCCACCACTGCTTAGCAACCATGTTACTAACTTAACAGGTAACAATAATTCTCTTAACAACTATGGCAAGAATGGAGCAAAATTCACTTAACAAATGTCTCACTTAGCAACAGAAAATTTGGGCTCAGGGTCATAAGTCAAGGAATACCTGTATACAACTTCCTTTATCATGGACACAACTTCCTTTATCATGGATTCTGAGGATTCTGGACTCAGCTGTATAACTTTAGGGCCACGGATTTCCTACTTTGAATGTAGAAAAAAACATATACAATCATAGCTTGGATCTTGGTAATATTATTCTGTTCTATCTTTCTGCTTCAGAAGTTACGAAGAGGTTAACATGACATGTTATTATAAACAGAAACAAGCAATAAAGGAAAGCCTGAAGAACAACAAAGAATTTCATAATCTACACAATTTTCATTTTGGAGAATGGGAGATGTATATGAAATGATTCCATCACATTAGCATTGTTCCATCTGATTCTATGCAAAGAAGCAGCTGGACTTCACTCTTATAATTGAAAGTCATATGATCAGCGGATAAACATCCCGTATCTTCTTCTGCTGAATTTCAATGCAGCGCCGGAGCCAAATCTCTTTCAAACATCTATTTATTATCCTTTAAGATTAGCTGTTTTCTGTTCTGTTGCCATGAACCAAGATGGGAAAATGTATTACTGAACATATTGAATGAATGACAAGATTTCATTAGAAGGGTTATTTTTCTCTCTCCTTGCATTGTGATTGCACATTATTTGGGCTTCCTCCCTGATCAAAACAATTAAGCAATTGTGATTTCACTTGGCTATTTGGGAGCTTATCTAGGCTTAGAACTGTTATAAACAGATATGAAAAGGACATTCAGGTATGAGTAGCATATTGATACTTGGCATTTGGTATGAGCCATCCAGTAGATTGGCATTTCAGTATCTTGTGATTATAATGGTTCTAACTCCTAAACATTCTTTAAACTTAATGGCAACAACAGCAAGGAACTCAGTGTATCATAAACTATAGTCAATCCATCCATCCATCTATCTATCTATCTATCTATCTATCTATCTATCTATCTATCTATCATATATTGCAAAATACGTTTTGCCTAAGACCACTGTACAGTAGTTTTGAATAGTTTACTAATCTGACTTCACAAATTTTACTGACTTTTCATGTGTTGCAGTTCTGTTAGCAATATAGGGCATAAAATGTAGATGTCTTGTTTTCTTCTGGTTCCTTTTGGATTTACAAGTTATCCATGGTTTATGACTAACCTGTGTGAAGCTAACTTTTGTAATGAGTGTCACCCTATGGCAGACGGAATTGTGTAAATCCATTCAATTCAAATGACAATTCACAATAGTTACACGAGTCTGCCTTTGATGTGTGAATCAGAAGTTTTTTGTTTCTACAGGAAGATAAGGAAAAAAATATAATTGAGGATGTCAGGAGGAAATTGCAAGTCCTTAGAATTCTGGGATTCCCAAAGAAAGAAAATGTGGTTGTATTTGATTGCTATATAATAAAGGAGAAGAAGTAAGGAAAAATAACAGTACTGGATGAGATAGGCCAATAGTTTAATTTAATATAATTTTAATTCAATGTAATATTATAAGTAAGCATACATTTGAAAGACGCTAAATTCATTCTAAACAGCCTAATCTCCACTTCTGAATTTCTGAGATATGATTGCTAAAAAGAAAAGAAGAGGAATTGTATTAGAGATAACAGTAATCTGATGGTGTTTTTCTCTCAATTTCAGTAAGGCTTCAATGGATTTGCAACAGATTTGGACACATTTTTCATTAAATTTCACCACCATCTGTGCAGCCAATTTTTCCTTTCTTGTTCAATATCTCATGCCTGAACAAACTAGAATTTATTTAAAAAACACAGAATGGGTATTAATACAATTATTTTTATGAAATAAAATAGCCTAGACACAAGTATTTTTGATTGCCTAGACATTGTTCTCTCGCCCCCAGAACTTCTCATTTTTAATGGTCCATGTGTGGGGTTTTTTGGGGGGGGAAGGGGGGGGGGGAGTTTGTTTTTAAAGCAAAAAAAAAAAATACCAATTTCATTACTACCATACCCCCTGGGGCTCTTGACAGCTAAAAAAAATAGTGAAAAATGGCATCCTTGGTAGAAACTAAATAAATAAAATAGAAATTGCCAATCCATGCTGTCAAAAAAAATATAACTACTGGTTTGTGTCCACATGCTTGGATGCATGCTAACTTCAAAATGCATTTATCCCTTCAAACCTTCAACGTTAACTTCTGAAGATGTGTAAAAGCGAAGAAGGGGCTGAATGTTTACAGTGGTAAATGTAGAAACTTATTGACAAAAGAAAAATTAAATGATATATTTTAACTCTTGGAAAAGTAGACTTACCATAATTACTTTAGTCAGGAGTACGTATCTATAAAGGATACTGGGATAGACTTAGGAGAACTGAAGGGGAAAAATTGGGGGGAGATGATCTGTATTGGAAAAGACACACAACAATTCCTGTTTTACCAGTGAAAATCTATAGTTATTTTAAACCTGACAGCAACAAAAATAAACAAAAAGTTGTGTCAGAGTTTGCAACTGCAATCAAGTCCAGAAAACATACACAGCAGAGGTGGGTTTCAGCAGGTTCTGACCAGTTCTGGAAAACCGGTAGCAGAAATTTTGAGTAGTTCGGAGAACAGGTAGTAAAAATTCTGACTGGTCCCACCCACATCTATTCTCTGCCTCCCAAGTCCCAGCTGATCGGGAGGAAATGGAGTTTTTACAGTATTCTTCCCCTGGAGTGGGGTGGGAATGGAGATTTTACAGTATCCTTCCCCTGCCATGCCCACCAAGCCATGCCTACCAAGCCATGCCACACCCACTAAGCCATACCCACAGAACCGGTAGTAAAAATTTTTGAAACCCACCACTGACACACAGGTAACTGATTCAGCAGGATTCATTAACTTCTCTTTATATCCACAATAACACATGAAATAAATATACAATACCAAAAGCAGATTTTCCAACGTGGTAGTAGTTACAGGCAAAACACAGGCAGAGAAGTTTCAGTTCAGAGTTGCAGACTAGTTTGGAACTTTTGCACATACTCAGAGCTAAGCCACGCCCAGGTTCCTTCTTGTCTCAGCTCCTATTGGCTGACCTTGTTACTGAGCCCTATTCATTGGCTGACCTTGTTACCATGTCTCTGCCAGTCATGAATTCTCTGACAACTTGTACATCCAATGTATTAATGTTAAAATTATGATCTGATTCATATTTCTTTGTCATGGATCTTCTTTACTTTAACTCAGTATCAAATCAAATTTTTTATTACAGGTAGTCCTTGATTTGCGACCACAATTAGCCCAAAATTTCTGTTATTAAGTGAGACATTTGTAAAGTGGGTTTTGCCCTATTTTACGACATTTCTTGGCACAATTGTTAAGGGGGTCACTGAAGTTGTTAAGATAGTAAGCCAGTTGTTAAGTAAATCTGGTTTCCCCATTGACTTTGGTTGTCAGAAGATTGCAAAAGTTGATCATATGACTTTGGGACACAGTAACCGTCACAAATAGGAACCAGTTGCAAGCATTTGAATTTTGATCACATGACCATGGGGATGCTGCAAAGGCTATAACTGTGAAAAATGGCCACAAGTCACTTTATATCCAGTGGTGTTGTAACTTTGAACAGTCATTAAATGGAACTGTTGTAAGTCGAGGACAACCAGTACAGTCATAGATTGACATAGATCAGTATAGGAAAGATGGGAGAAAAGAATTAGTAATTTTAAGCTAAAAGTATGATAAAAAAAATTAAAAGCTTATCTAAAAACTCCTATTAAAAGGTATTAAAATAATTAAATACAGGGAAACATAAACATTAGTATATCGCTAATTTTAATTGCTGCTGTGCAACAGTCTGTTATAGCAGGATTTGTGTTTGCAAGCAGCACAGAAGAATAAAATTGTCCTATGCACCCTGAGTACTTATACAGTATTGCTGATGTGAGATAAGTATGAATGTCTCTGTAGTACGTGCACCGTAGTACATGATTTGTTGTTTCTGTATGTTCAGAGTCACAGTGGCATTGCCTCTACAACTAGGGAGATTTCCTGCATTGGCCTCCAAAGAGAGCTGAGGGAAGGGAGGGCATGACATTGTGCCAACCTAAAGACTGTCTGATGGCTAGGTAATTTGAGGTTGGTTAAGTATGTCATGAAAAAAGCAGTGTCTGCTATATGCTATTTAATAAGAGCTTTGGCCTGGTCAGATTCAATGCTGAGCAGAAAATCTGGAAAGAAGCCCAAGGATGAAATTATTTGCCAATGACTTTTTCCGTGTGGATTGAAAATCATCCCTCAAATTTAGTGGGGTGAGACCAAGGCGAAGGAGGGGTAGTTTGAGCCTAAGCCATGGGTGCTATTGAAGGTGAAGAGTGAGGTCAGGATGGGGGCCCAGAAGTTCAAGTTCTTTTTAAAGCCTCTGGAGGGATTTCTGGTCTTAGTTAAACAAACAAGATTCTTGTTCTCTGTCACTGTCATTGCTGTCAATATCAGCAGATTTTGTGTAGTTTAGCTAGGACATCCATTTTCCACAGAGGTATCCATATATATCAAGTACTTTGGCCACCTAATGAGAAGGAAGGACTCGCTGGAGAAGAACCTAATGCTGGGAAAGATGGAGGGCAAAAAAAGAAGGGAACGACAGAGAATGAAATGGCTGGATGGAGTCACTGAAGCAGTAAGCGTGAGCTTAAATGGACTCCAGAGGATGGTAGAGGACAGGAAGTCCTGGAGGAACATTGTCCATGGGGTTGCGATGGGTCGGACACGACTTCACAACTAACAACAACAACAACAAATCCATAAATAGTTCCTAAAAGTATGTCTCCCTTGGGGAAGTGGCAATCCACCCTGGATAGATCATTGCTTTGGGAGCATACCAAAATAGGACTGAGTCTTTGGATTTGACTGGTTTGTCTTTGGCTTGTCAGTGTGTCTGTTGTCATATTAACCCCTTAATTTCCACTGGGGATTTGTAGATCCAAGGTTTGTTGGAAGCTTGACTGCAGTTTCACTTAACTGTTGCAATATTTTTAAAAATTAGCATTCCTGCACTTGAAAAGCAAGTGTCCTGCAAAGGTTTAGTGATGTAGTTGTTAAGGAGGGTACTGGGAGCCTGTTCCAAAGGTTATCTTCCTGGTCTGGGGGGAGGATTTGGGCAAAGCTTTAAAGAGTTAAGAGGTGGCCAGTGGGTCCTATGCAGAGGTGGGTTTCAGCAGGTTCTGACCAGTTCTGGAGAACCAGTAGCAGAAATTTTGAGTAGTTCGGAGAACCGGTAGTAAAAATTCTGACTGGCCCCCGCCCCCATCTATTCTCTGCCTCCCGAGTCCCATCTGATTGGGAGGAAATGGGGATTTTGCAGTAAACTTCCCCTGGATTGGGGACAGAATGGAGAATTTACAGTATCCTTCCCATGCCACGCCCACCAACCCATGCCCACCAAGCCATGCCACACCCATCAAGCCACACCCACAGAACCGGTAGTAAAAAAATTTTGAAACCCACCACTGGTCCTGTGTTATTATAGTCTTTGGAGTCCTGGGGCAGTAGATCAATAACTCATATTTTTGATTGCCTCTCAGGTGGGAAGATAGGAGTTAATCCTTATCTGTTTCTCCGCTTTGTTAAGTGTACGGGTCCCAGTATCATTGCTGGGCCTAGTCCAGGATCTTTTCTTGTCCTTGTATGGCATATCAGGGACAGTAGGTTAAGCCAGAAGTTGTAAGATCTGTCACAAGCCTTACAACTTACTTCAGAAACTGGTAATGTGTCCCCATCTTGGTTTCTCCCACAACTCAATTTCAGTAACTTTAAGATGTGGCTCTTGAAACTAATGGGGGAGTTTTGTAAGCCTATACATCTTAAAGCTGTTGAGATTGAAATAATACTGCTTTAACTGACTTCCTGCTGTTTTAGACTTGCCCACAAGAGGCACTATTTCAATGCATTTTTTTTATGTAACACTAGCAGCAGCAGTTATTACCATATTTTTCAGAGTATAAGACACATCTTTTTCCCCCCTAAAAGAGGGTGAAAATTTAGGTGCGTCTTATACACCGAATGTAGCCCCGCCCACCCACTGGCCCCCACTCTTTGGCCTCTGCCTCCCAGCAGTTACCTCCTTGCAGCAAACAGCAAGAAAAAACAGCTCCTTTCAGCTTCTGCACTGCCTAATTAGCACAAGTTGATTGGATCGGCCTCCTGACTCTCAGCTGTTTTGCTCTTAGCTGTTTTGCACAGGCCTCTGCTGCTTGCTGCAAGGAAGAAAATTGCTGGAGCAGATTTTTTTTCCCCTTGTGCTAATCAAGCTATGCTGAAAACGAAAATGAAAGTAAAGCAGGCTGTTTGCTGTTTGCTGCAATAAGGCAAAATTGCTCAGAGGCAGAGGCAAAGGGAGATTTCTTTTTCTTCTTTTCCTCACCAAAAAGGGTAGGTGAGTCTTATAGTCCAGTGCGTCTTATACTCCGAAAAATATGGTACTTCTATAAAAATGTTCTTTGCTATAGAAGGAACCATCTTATTTGCTTCTTGCATAACATGTGTCACTTGAAGTTAAATTGAAGCATCAGGTGAAAATATATCATGGTATTTTCATTTCATGGACAGTGAAGGAACGGAGAAGAGGACTGAATGCTAAGAACATATCCCTGACATTTGGTATTTTATAGCATTTAGAAGCCTTAAAGGAACATTGGTCCTCAGAGATGAAAGATCATCCTAGGATTACATTATAGTTATATTTGTATGGAAGAACGCTTTTCTTCACTTCCTAGACGGTACCTGGCTTGTTTTATATGCAGATATGTATCAATATTATGATTTATTCATGGAATACTGCATGCCAAACAGTTGGTTAAGAAGGGCCATATTTAAAATTCAGCCTTTGTGCTGAGGTGAAACGGTGAGGGAAGTGATAACCTCTAGATTAATGAATGTTTTAGCAGGGTTTGACAATCACCCTTTCTTGTTCATTCTGATCACAGCAAGAGAAGTGCCACCATTCAATGACCTCTCTACTAATGTTCTTCATCATTCCACAAGGAATTGTTTGAGGAGGGGGTGTTGAAGGGTCTTTAGTGTCCTATTAGTATGCCCCACAGGATAACAATGCATTCTCCTTGTCTCTTTCTGGAAGCTAATGTCATTAATTCTGCCACCTAAATCAGTACCGTTTAAGTTTTTATCTACTATATAGTTACTGGGACACAGAATGCCCTCCAATGAATGCCACAGAGGCAGTGAATAAAGTTTTCAAGCAATGCATAGGGGGTGTTTTTAATTACAATGGTGGTACTCATTGTTCTGCTTAAATGCCACTTCAACCTTGATTATTGTCGCACAGCGTGAACATATTTCTTTTGTTTGTAATGTATCTGAAAAGCAAATTTAAGTTTTGACCATGTACTTGTGAATATTGTGTTTGGCTACTGCTTTGTCCCTACTCACCCTGTCAACAAAAGTGCATATAGTCAAGGCTATGGTTTTCCCAGTTGCAATGTATGGCTGTGAAAGTTGGATCATAAGAAGGGCTGAGTGCCAAAGAATTGAGGCCTTTGAACTATGGTGCTGGAGAAGACTCCTGCGAGTCCCTTGGACTGCAAGGTGATCAAACCGGTCAGTCCTAGAAGAGATCAACCCTGACTGCTCTTTAGAAGGCCAGGTCCTGAAGATGAAACTCAAATACTTTGGCCACCTAATGAGAAGGAAGGACTCACTGGAGAAGAGCCTAATGCTGGGAAAGATTGAGGGCAAAAGAAGAAGGGGACGACAGAGAACGAGGTGGCTGGATGGAGTCACTGAAGCATAGGCGTGACCTTAAATAGACTCCAGAGGATGGTAGAGGACAGGAAGGCCTGGAGGAACATTGTCCATGGGGTCACGATGGGTCGGACACAACTTCGCAGCTAACAACAACAACTGCTTTGGGAACTTTTGAAGGAGAAACATATGAATGTTGTTACATTCTTTCCACTTGAATATTTTAAAAAAAACCAT